AGGGGCAGGGGTGGGGAGTAGGAGAGCAGGGGTGGGGAGCAGGGGGAGCAGAGGTGAGGAGCATGGGGAGCAGGGGTGGGGAGCAGGAGCAACAGGAGTGGGGAGCAGGGGTGGGGAGCAGGGGGAGCAGAGGTGGGGAGCAGGAGGAGCAAGGGTGGGGAGTAGGAGAGCAGGGGTGGAGCAGGAGCAGGAGTGGGGAGCAAGGGGAGCAGGGGTGGGGAGCAGGAGAGCAGAGGTGGGAAGCATGGGGAGCAGGGGTGGGGAGCAGGAGAGCAGAGGTGGGGAGCATGGGGAGCAGGGGTGGGAAGCAGGAGCAGTAGGAGTGGGGAGCAGGAGAGCAGGGGTCCCCCTGGCCATCCCACAGTGGCACCGGGCTCTCCACTCTCAGCTCCCCCTGAGTGTCAGGTAGGTGAGGCTGGAAGGCCCAGCCTGTCTCAGGAGGGCTGCTGGGGCTCTGGGGGGTGGGGGGCACCGAACCATCCTGCAGCCTGGCCTCACCCTGCGGCCCTGCTTAAGGAGGGGCTGGTCCCGCTGGGAGCCTCTGCCCCACAGAATTACGCACAGCCTCGGCAGCGGCAGCGGGCCGTACCTGAGCTCTGCTCCTGCCTGGGTGACAGAGACCCTGAGGCCCAAGAGCCATGGCTTGCCCGGGGTCACCCCTATCACCCCCTGACATGCGGGAGGGTGCCAGGTGGCTGTTGGGTGGCCCTGCGAGGTCAAGTCTGGCCCCTTCCGCCAGGTGCTGTGTGACCTGAGGGCCTCCGGTTTAGGGATGCCCTGCCCACCTCACCCACCCCTGCCGCTCAGCTTCCACCCCAAGCTGCCTTCTCCCTGGCAGCAGTCATGACACTGTGTGTGTGTGTGTGTGTGTGTGTGTGTGTGTGTGTGTGTGTCTGTGTGCGCGCGCGCGTGCACACATGGTAGAGGACAGAAACCACTAGGTCTTCAGGGCCCAGCTTCTGTCCCCTGGCCCAGCGCCCACCAAGGCACCCTGCGAGTCCCTTCTCTTGAGTCTCCTCACTTGGTGCAGGGTCTGTCCCTCTCTTGGGTCAAGGCATCTCGTAGAACCAGGAGATCGGTGTGCCCAGAACTGGACCAGCACCAGCCCTGCTCTTGCTGAGCTCCTGGTCGCGTTTAGGCTATACGAGGGGACTGGGACCGGGACAGGGACTGCCGGCACACACATTTCTCTCCTCAGAAGCACATAGGGCTCCCAGGCCGCCTGTCTGCAGTTTCCACATGGCAAATTCCGGAGCCCTGTAAAACAGTCTGCTGCCACCAGGTGGCAGCATCAGGCCACGGCCTCCGGTCCTGGGTCCATGCCACGTGTCCTTCCACTGTGTTCAGCACCACACATTTGTCAGACTCATGGAAAGAGAACTGATGTTTAAAAGAATTATTGCCAGAGGGCGTGTGAGTTCACCAGCAAGAGAGAACGAGACAGAGAAAGAGGGAGAAATCACCCCATGATCCCTACTTCATGTCCCCGTCCTGGGGTGATTTAGGGCATCTGTGCTTTTCGAGCCCCAGGGCTGGGATTTGATCCATGGTCGGCCATGTGGAGTCTTGTTTTCTTGGGCTACATGGCTGTACCAAGAGCTAACTCTTTTTTTCAGATTTTTAAACTTTACTGTTTTCAAGAGAAAGAGAAGGAGAAACAGCACCCCAGTGGGACCTCACAGAACAGCCACCCCTGCCTCACTTCAGCCCCCCAGCCATGGCTGTGCGCATGCCCAGTGGACTCGGGAGGCCCTGGCTGCAGTGCAGGGCCTTCCTGCCTAGAGTGGCCTCACAGGGCACCCCATGTACTGCTGTGCACCACCTGGCTCCCTGACTTATTTTATTTCATGTTTAAAATGCTCTGCCTGGGGACCAGCATATGACATAATGGTTACATCACTGGATTCCCACGTGGTCGACCGCAGTTCGAGTCCTGAACCTGGCAGCTTGAAACTCAGGCCAACCGTGTGTGCATGCCCAAGATCCAGGGAGAATGAAGGAGAAGGGATTGTGGAGTGGCCATCCACCTGGTGGGTGATTTCTTGCTTTCTGTCTCTCTAGCAAGTGCACACACCCTATAGCAAAAATCTTTCCAAATTTTTTTTCCTGCTGTTTGTTTGCTATAGGATGCATGCACTCGCTGGAAAGAGATGGGGGTGTTGGGGGGGGGGAGCGCCCCAGCAGCGTGGCCATGCCACACCCTCTTCTCTGTCCTCCTCTCGGGAATTGGGCATGCACACACCTGCCGGGCATGTTTTCATGCACTAGGCCCAGGACTGGAACTGCACCATTAGCCATGTGGGATTCAGCGCCTCAACCAGCGACCACCCGCTGGCCCAGTTTTTGTTTGATGCATAGTAAACGGTGCATGCACTCACGGGAGAGAGAGGAGAGCCGGTAACGCGCCCGGCCCACAGCAGCCATTTTCCTGCAGTCCTCCATCCCATCAGGACCTGAGCCGCGTGTGTGAGCTGGGCAGAGCTGACGGCCGATCCAAAGCCCGGTGGGGCGTGGGAGCTGGTCTCTGCGTGGCACCTGATGCCGCACCGCGGCCAGCGACACAGAACTGCCGAACTGGCGCTGCCCCCGGCCTCCGGCCCCTGGCCCTTGGCCCCCAGCCCCTGGCCCCTGGAAGCGTCCTGCCATGTGGGTGTATCCTCCCCTCTTACGAATGGAGAACCTGGGCCTCCGAAGGGTGAAGAGACCTGCCAGGCCACAGGAGGCCTCTGTCCCAGCACTGAGATGTGGCTGCCTAATGATGCTATCTCGGCAGCCTCTCCCAGGGACGTCTCTGGGCTCAGCCCTGCCCCACAGGGAGTGTGAGGATCAGGGTGGTGCCCGCGGCAGGCAGCGCCGCACCATGTGACTGCCAGGCCCATGCCACCCGTGGGCGTCCTGACGCCTTGAGGATGCTGAGGATGGGGCTGGAGCCACACGCCTTGACCCACCCCTCCACCTTGCCCCCCAGTTCCGGAACCCCAAAGCCTCGCTGCGCCTGCGGCTCTGTGACCTCCTGGGCCACCTGCAACGGAGCAGTGAGCGGGACTGCCGGGAGTTCTACCGCGCCCTGTCCATCCACGCCCAGCCCCTGCACAGCCGCCTACCCAGCCGCCTTGCCCTGCGTAAGTCTGCTGGACTCGCTTATGCCCCGCCTCGCACCTCCATGGCCTCCAGGGAGAGTACTGCAGGCCACTCGGATGTCTCTGTCCCTCTCTGTGTCTCTGTCTCTCCCTCTCAGCTTTCCACGCTGCCTCATCATGCCAGTTTATACAGAAGGCAGCCCCCTGGACGCCCAGCCCTGCCCCTCCTTCCCTGGCCTCCCCTCTAACGGGCAGTGGCCCCTTTCTGGGGACAGCCTTATCCTCAAGGCCGCCAGGTGCCCTTGGGTGACCTCGCCTGGGCTTGGTGCTCCTCCTGTGGCACTGGTTCCGAAGGACACAAGTGCCCCCACAGGGCACTCTCAGGCCCAGACGGAGGGCAGAGGAACCTGCGTTCTGGTTTAGAGGGTCCAGTCCCCTGGGCCATGGCCCCAGGTCCCGCTGGTTTGCAGATCCCCAGGGTCTGGGGTCCTCTGAGCTGCTGGGACAGCAGCCCTGACCCAGGGCCTTGGTGCTCAGAGCCCAGGAGGAGGCTCCTGCCCCTCAGAGGCCATCATGGAGGCCAGAGGGACTGCGTAGCTCACCACAGACCCCACTGCGGGCACCCGGGTTGCTGTTTCTGACCCTGGGAAAGCCTCCCCAGGCCTCATGATTCCTAGACACCAGGCCGGGACGGGCTGAAGGGAAGGACCAGCCTCCCAGTGCCAAGGGCCCCCTGAAACAGCTGGGTCGAGCCATGAGCCTGCTGGAGGTAGAGCACCTTCCATGGCTGCCAGGTGCCCCGGGGGCAGGGCAGGAGAGGTCCCCCGGAGGAAGGCTCTGCCCCTATACCCCTGGCAGGGTCACCTGCAGCTCCTGTGGGCTCACTGTGGGCGTTAGCGCTGCGTTTGGTGCCTGTGGCCACCCAGGAGCGAGGGCCCCTCCCTAGGCGATGGCCCTGAAGTCGCAGGAGCTGCACAGGGCTCCTGGAGGGGGCAGCAGCCTCGGGTCTGGCCGGGGATCCCCCACGGCCCCCTGTTCTCTGGGCCCACGACTAACCGCGCTGTGATTTTGTTTCCAGAGGACTCGGATTGCATAGAGGTAGCCTCGTGCGGCCAGCGCCCAGAGCCCAGGGACAGGGGTAAAGAATCCCCAGCCTCTCCCTGCCCCAGGGCTCTGGCTCCGCCTCCGCCTCGGGGGCTGTTCCATCCCAGGTCTGGCTTCACTCCTGGCTTCCTGCCGGGGGCAATCCAGACAGCACCCCTGCCTGGCATCCCCACCCCCGTGCAGTTCCCTGGCCTCAGGACCCCTCCCTGCAGCAGGCGGGCCCTGTTCACGCTTGTTTCTCCCCAGGACCCATGAGCTTCCTGGCGGGCCTCGGCCTGGCCACAGGGCTGGCCCTCCTGCTCTACTGTTGCCCTCCAGGTGGGTGTGGTGCCCCTCTCAGGCCCCTCGCGTGCTGTGGGCGGGTAGGACCCACCTTGCAGGGCCCCTGAGGGATAGGGTAGGGTGCATGGGGCCCCAAGCCCTGGGCGGACCAGCTGCCCCCAGGAGTCAGAACAGTGACCCATCAGCCCGGCTCCGGGCACGCGACCCCCGCCATGCTTGTGACCTGGAGCACGTCACCTCCCTGGGGCCTGGCATGTCTGCCTCCCCACCTCCCCCATCATGGGGAAGCCTGCAGGGTGTGCGAGCACTGGTGCCAGCTCACGTGGCCCGCAGGTGGCGCTCAGTGGGGACTGAGCCCCCCCTCTCCCTGCTCGTTTTCAGCTCCCAGCAAGCGAGGGTGGGGCTGGGGTGGCAGGAGGGGAGTGGAAGAGGGGAGTAGGGCTGCACGTGGTTTTCAGGCCTTCTGGCCTCGCCCTTGTCTTCCAGACTCCAGGGGGCCGCCGGGGGCCCGGCGCGTCCTCGGGTTCTCCCCGATCATCATCGACAGGCACGTCAGCCGCTACCTGTTGGCCTTCTTGGCGGACGACCTCAGGGGCCTCTGACAGGCCCAGGCCCCAGCCTCACCCTCCTCAACCAAAGAGCACCCGGCCAGCCCGCCGCGGGCCAGGACCCTTTCTCTGAGCGCTCGGTGTCTGCCCGCCCTGGTTTCTGTGGGGGCGCCCGTCGCCCTGCGGGGTGCTTAGCCGGATTAAACGTCCGCCCGGTGTCTCAGCAGCGTTCAGACGATTCCAGGTGGGGCTGGGCGCTGGGGTGCTCCTGGGCTCCCCAAGTCCAGGCCTCGGCCGGCGCCCCCACAGGCTCCCTGAGCCCGGGAATCCCTGCACGGCGTCCTCTCCTCTCCCCAGGCCATGCCCCGTGTCCCCAGGCCCCACTCTGAGCCTTTCTCTCCGTTCCGTGCCTCCCTACCCAGCGCTGAGGCCAGGTCGGGCCGGGGGGACTTGGTGACTGCCTAGTAGCTCCGTGGCGCCCCCTGCTGCCCTCCGCTGTCCCGGCCCGCAGGGGTGCAGTCTCCAGTGGTTCGGCGCTGCTCCCTTCCGTCAGCCGTCCCTCCACCAGGGGGCGGGCTCCCCCCTCCTTTTAGTTCGTGTTTTTCCCACAGGGTAAGTGTGCTCCCTGGAGAGACAGAAAGTGAGAGATCACCCCTGGGGGCATGCCACACCGCTGTTCCTTCTCCAGTCTCCCTTTGGGATTCTGGGCACATACACACATGCACCTGGTGTGATTTTCACTGTCCGGGACTTGAACCGCCCAGTCAACCATGTGGGATCCAGCTACCTTAATGTCTGTGCCTCCTGCTGGACCAATCTCCACGTTTACGATGAGGAAACAGGCCCAAGGGACTGGGGGCAGAGGTCACTGCCCAGGTCACTCGGCCAGTGAAGACAGAGAGGGGACATTAGGCCTGGCCTAAACTCAAGCCCCCTATCCCTTGTCCCCTTCCCGTGACTGTCTGAGGAGGCCCTGTGGCCCCAGCCCTCTCACCGTGTCCCTTCTCCTGGCCTCTCGGTCACCGTCCAGTCTCAGAGCCCCTCCCCTGCCAGCCTCTGCCCTAGGGTCTGAGGTCTCTAGACCCACCTCTAGCTAAGGCTGCCGCTGGACTTGGTGGGTCCAGGGACCCAGCACCCCACGTGGGGTACAGCCACGGCCAGAGCCTGTGGCTGGAAGTGAGCCTAAGGCCTCGCCACTGACCCAGTGGCTACGCGTGCCCAGGCTAGCATGGGCCAGTCTCTGACCCAGTGGCTACGCGTGCCCAGGCTAGCAGGGGCCAGTCTCTGACCCCCCAGTGGCTACACGTGCCCAGGCTAGCAGGGGCCAGTCTCTGACCCCCAGGGGCTACGCAGGCCCCGGCTGAGAGGGGGC